ATTATTATTCAGCTCAAGCTTCTGTAACAAACTGCATTAGATAGGACCGCTTAAATAACAGACATTTATTTTCTCACTGTTGTGGAGGCTGGAGGTCTGAGATCAGGACGCAAGCATCATGGGTTTCCTGTGAGGTCTTTCTTCTTGGCTCATAGGTGGCTGCCATCTTGCTCTGTGCTCATGTTGACCTCAAGTTCTTGAAATTGGAGTTTTAGAAAGTAGAAGAGTATAATGCCAAAAGGGGAGATTTATTAGAAGACCTGGATTAAATCCTGGCTCCAGCAATGATCAGAAAGATGACTTTGGGCTGTAGCTCTTTATCTCTAGACTAGAGGCCTGTTGCATGAAAAGATTCGTGCAATAGGCCTTCCCTTCCCCTGGCTGCCGGCACCGGTTTTCCTCTGGCACCCGGGACCCAGGCCTTCGCTCCTGCCGGAGGCGCCTTCAAGCCTCTCGCGGCTCCGGCTCCGGAGGCTGGAGGCGCCTTCAAGTCTTCGCTCTGCCGCTTCATGCCTATGTATGCAAATTAACCGCCATCTTTGTTGGTGGTTAATTTGCATATCTCGCTGATTAGCCAATGGGAGGCTAGCGAAGATACGGTTAATTTCAATCTTTGTCTATTATTAGATAGGATGGGAGACGACAACGACTGCTTCAAAGGACTGTTTTATGGATGAATGGAGAAACCTTGTTGTGAAAACTCCCGTGGTGTCCAGCACATAGGTGGCACTTACTGAAAAAATTAACTTTGTAGATGGTGGAATTTATGAACTAATCCAGTCCCTGATCTAGGTTTTAACATATATGTTTTTCCTACAGTGCATGTACCGATTACTTCAAACTGTACAGTAATTTGACAGCCTTCTGAACTTTATGTTTTCTAAGTATTCATTAGCTGACATAATTTCAGGGGACTTGAATGCCAGGTTTGGCAGCGGTTCCACCAGAGCTACATCCATCAGAAACCTGCAATTGTCAGATTCTTCCTTTTAAGGCACTTCTCCAGGAATAACTGTCTGAATCAAAGAGGAAAATATCTGGTCAAACTTATTTATAATCATAGTCCAATAACGGTAAATAGCAGGCTGTGGGATAAATCTGTGGACTTTCACTTATGTTTCCAACCAAGGGCAGCATTATTGATGATTGAAGAATTAGCTCTTCAGAGCTTATTTCAACCTGAGTTGGATATTTCAGACTAGTGGAAAGTAAATGTTTTCCTATTAAACTTAATTTGAGCTTTCAAAAACGGTCCTTGCATCTGTTCCTACACATACTCAAATCAGTGAGATTTTAGGGATAAGGTTAAACTGAAGTGAACAAATACATTTATGATAACAAAGGATTTATGGCACATATTTTATTCTGGAAGTCTTCATGAATAATTATTTATAATATTAACAAGTCATGGTTATACTACTATGTTGCTGGACTATGCAAGAACAAGTACTTTCATCTCTTGCTTCATAAAAGAGATCAGAAAGAAATTCCAGGCCATATTATCAAGATATTATCTTAAATATAACTGAGATCAGGTCATCCAGAGACTCATTAAGACATAAGTCTTTTAAAAATGACTTCTCCTTTCCAAAAATTAAATTACATAAAATGTGCAGGAATATTTTGGGCTCACCAGCAGGGGCACTGACAATGCAGATTTGGGGTCTTCATCTTCTTGGTGTCACTTCAGTATGAGGAAATTAAAATCACGTGCATGAATTGACTACTACCCAAACATTTAAATTTCCATGCTGCCTCTATTTTGTTGTCTCCAGTATTCTCAATAGCCGGAATCCATTATTTTCATCAACTCTAAAAAAATAAAAATAAATAAAATCTAGTTTTTTGAGGCTGAAAAGGGCTCCAGAAGAAAATCTCTGCTGCCAAGTCTGTCAGGCATGGCTCAGTGGTTGAGTGTGGACCTATGAACCAGGAGGTCACAGTTCGATTCCCAGTCAGGGCACATTCCCAGGTTGTGGGTGTGTGGGACATGCAGGAGGCAACTGATCAATGATTCTCTCTCATCATTGATGTTTCTATCTCTCTCTCCCTCTTCTTTCCTCTCTGGAATCAATAAAAATATACTAAAAAAAGAAAAAAGAAAATATCTGCTGCCAGAATTATTTTGATCTTGCTTGAGTAGTTGACTGAAGTCCTTGTCAACCTTAATTAACACCACAGGTATGGTTCGCTCAACATGAACACTAGGCGTAGTTGACTCTACATTCAAAAAGGGAAACCTTCCATCTCCTGGAATTGCAGAACCTTGCATTAAGGCTGTCAGAGACATCTTCAAAATAACATCACATTTCTTCTTTAAAAAAATCTCAGTCTAATTGCTAGCCAGTTCTAGATATAAGCTATTTTTTTTTTTACAGATAATGACTATTAAAATATTTGTTGAATGAGTGGATTCTGTTATTTATTTTATCTCCTCCAAAAAGTAACTGAGACTGTTGTGAAACTTTTGTCTGGATACATTTATTTTCCCCCTGTAATCTTCTCTTCCTGTATCTAACTATCATTGGTCCAATAATCTGAAGGAGAAACCTGGAAGTTATCCTGGTAACCTCCTGCCCTCCCCATATCCTCCCTGCCCTCCCCATATCTATTCAATTTCCAACACTTGCTGACTTTTACATCCTGAATGTGTGTTGATCCTATTCTCTCCTTTGATCCCTTCTGGCACTATACAGGCTCCAGGCCTCACCCTACTCTCTGAGCTTTTAGAATAGCATCCTAAGGGCTTTTTCTTGTCACCAGTAATGACATCCTCTGATTTATCCTTCAGAGTATTATATTTAAAATACAAATTTGATCAGTTAATTTCCTTTTAATGGCTCTCCATCATCCCCAGTAAAACAAACAAAAAAACAACTAAGCTCCTGGCATAAAATCTAAGCCTTCTGTGATTTGGCTTCAATGAACCTCTCAGGTTTATTTTCTACCTGCTGCTCACTGCCTAACCCTTTGTGCTGCAACAGGTCTTTCATCTGGGGCACTACTGACATTTGGGGCTGGATCATTTTTTGTTAGGGGCAGGGCGGCTGTCCTGTGCCATTGTAAGATGTTTAGCAGCATCCCTCACCTCTACCCACTAGATGCAGTGGTATTCCCTCCTCTTAGTTGACAACCAAGAGTAACTCCAGACATTGCTAAATGTCCCCTGGTGGGCAAAATTGCCCCTGGTTGGAAGTAGAAGTTGGGTGGTGAATCACAAACTCTTCACACACACCAGGCTACGTAGAACCACTCTACTCCTTTGCTTTTGTTGTGTTCTTTTTTGTTTTTTTTTGTTGTTTTTTTTTTTTTTTTTTTGTTTCTGGAAAGCCTTTCTTCTTCTTTGCCTAACGCAGGAAGAGAGGAAAAGAATCTCTCCTTGCCCTTCTTTGTCTCCTCCGAAGAGGAGGAACTAGGAATCTGATTGGTTAAGTGCCAGGACACTGATTGGATTATGAATGAGTTAATTTCTTTGAAAGGACCACATAGTGAGTATAACCCACTCTTCATTTTTAAAAAATCAATTAATACATGAATTCATACTTATAAAAATTCTAATAATATAGGACATAGAATTAAAAGTTAAAGTTTCCCAGGGTCAAACCATTCTAATTAAAAGAATTGTTTTGATAAATACTGCTCCAATATTATCACCACAGCCCCTTGGAGCCCCATGGGAGGTTGCTAAGAATGGCAGGGTGAAATGTTCCTAGTAGTAAAAATGAGGATAATGGAGAAAACTGGAAAAATGCATTGAACATTCGGATGGAGACAAACCTGACTACAAAACTGTATCTGTGCTGTGATTACAACTGTAAAAATTCCATCTGCATATGGACAGGGACTGAAAGGGAGCATGAAAAAAAATATAAACAGTTTGGTTTGTAGGATGGCAGAATTTTGGGTGGCTTTTTCCTTCTTTTATTTTGAGTGTTGTCAATGTTTTGTAATGTTTTATAATAAACAATACTATAAAAAAAACAGCCGAACCTGCTGACTAATTATTGTTAGAAAGAGCAGCTTAGCGTCAACTCTATCAGAGCTAAACTGCTGCTTTGGGCAGAGGGTCTCCAACATTATTAGGTTGATAACATCAGGTAACCTTAACCAAGGAGTCAACTCTTTCTGGTCCATAGGAGCATTTTCCCCCAGCCAAGGCCGTCTGGCAGGCATACCAGGTTTTAGTGCAACTGGGGCCATAAGGAGGGTGTTTGGTTTTGTTGTTTTTATCTTATTTTAAAAAAAATAGTTGAAAAGGTTGATTGGTTACACCTGCCCTAAGAAAGGTCTTGGACCCAATCCTTATCTACAGTACAGGGTCCTTAAAAGTGTTCATCTAAGTGTGTGAGTGGGTTCCAACTCCATTTTGAGGAAAATACTGATGTCACCTGCAGGCACCCCTGCAGCTCATCTTTGTGCAGAAATGAAATGGCAAGAATACAAGTCAGGTTCTTAAGAAGCTGACAACAGAATGTCAGCTCACTTCCTGCACATCTGGTGTTTAAAGCATATGGATAATCAACATCATAGACTATTGGCACTTCAGGCACTTGTCAGGGAATTCAATCCTGAAGTGACTTATAACTGCACACTACCTAAGGCTCACCCAAGACATCATATTGGGGAGACACAGTTTAATGGAGGGGCGACCTCTCCCTTCCTCTTCTAGGAGCTCTCATCTCTGCTCCTGCGTTTTGCCGTAGTCTCAGGGAGCAACATAGCTGGGCTGGATTACCTCTGCTCCTGACGGAAATGCTTCCACTGCGTTAAATGTCTAATATTATGCTTTGAGCCTTTATGAGATTCAATATCAGAGTAGTCCATGGGAACAATGTTTTTGAATTTTTTTGGCAAATACCTTTGCTGAGGATGTTGTGCCTTATGTTACCTAAAATCTGTTATTAAAAATATACATGATAAATTCCCTCTGGATTTAGGACATCAGCTTTTCTTTGCTCGTAACACAGGTTAGAAACTGGGTGTTTCTCTTTGTGCCTTAGGTGCCAGGAAACTTATGGTGTATCTCTCGTACTCATCCACTGGGCGTTCCATACAGATTAGGGGAGGTGATGAACTCGGCGGATTTGGGCACAACAAGGAGGATACCATTTGGTGCCCATTTAGTTGCTGTGCCTGTTATGGCTTAGGTAAGTACCATGCTTCCAATTTTAATGATCCCATGAGAATTTTTTTTCTCCAAGAATTAGTTGTTCCTGAAGTGCTAGATTTTCATAAAGGAAGAAATGCATTTCATTTTCTATAAATATAAAAATTAATTACTCATTGTTATAACTATTCATAAAAAATCAAAATTAGATGAGCATGTTCTTCATAGATTTTTTTAAGCCTCCAAGAGATCCATGTTATTATAGCATTTACAGCTCTATTATTTAAGGAAATTATGACATAAGGTTCATCATTAAATTAAGCCAATACCTTTGCCTAAATCCTAAGAAGAAATGTGTTAAAACTGGTAGATAAAACGATGGTGTCTTATTAGGAAAAAGTATAGGAAATTGAGTAGCATTGCTTTTGTAGATTTCACACCAGTGTATCTAGTTGGAAACATATTCATTCATTTGCTCATTCATTCTTTCCATCATTCATCATGTGACTCTAACATGTTCCAGGGACCATTTTAGGTGCCGAGGATTCATCAGTGAACAGAACAGACAGAACTGCCTGCCTTTACAGAATTTATATTCTAACCTGTGTGTGTGTGTGTGTGTGTGTGTGTGTGGCAGGAAGGCAATCAACAATAAACAAATAAATATACATGGCATGACAGTTGGTGTTAAGTGCTATGGAGAAAAGTCAAGTGGATAAGGGAGAGATAGGGTGCACTGGATATGGGGGTGGAATTTGCTATTTTAAACAGTGTGACCAGGTGGCATGTGAGCAGAGATCGGAAGGAGAGAGCTACATGAGTCTCTCTGAGAAGAGTTTCCATGCAGGGAGAACGTGTTGTGCAAAAACCCCAAAGCAGGAGTGTGCTCGGTGTGTTTGAGGAAAGCAAGGAGGCCTATGGGGCAGGAACGGAGTGTGGGGGCAGAGTGGTGGGAGGCCAGAGAGGTAGTAGGGAGCCTGGTTATATAGGCCGTTTAAAGGGCTTTTAAAAATGAGACTAGGGAAAATTGAAGCATTTCAAGCAGAGCAGTAACATGATCTGACATGTTTTAAAAGCATCATATGGTTGCTTTGTGGAGAGGACGCTGTAGAGAAGAGATGTGGGAAAAGTGGGTGCAGGAAACCTAGTGAGGAGATTGTCTGATGGTCATTTAGACTTGGCTTGCCATGGAGAGAAGTGGTCAGATTCTGGATCTAATTTAAAGGTAGAGCCACTGGGATTGCTGACTGTTGGATAGGAGTCAGGAAAGAAAGATTAGTGTTTGGTCAGAGCAAGTGCTTCAAGGAATGAAAAGAATGAAGTTGCTATTATACTGGCTGTGACGCTTATCTCACATACGCATCATGTCCTCAAGGTTCATGCATGTTGTAGCACGTGTCAGCATTTCTGTCCTTTATAAGGCTGAATAATCTTCATTGAACGGATATACTGCATTCTGCTTATCCATGTATACATTGCTGGAACCACAGTGATGTTTATTAAATATTACCACTCTTCGAAACTGACAGTAACTTGTTCCCATCATTCTTAGGATAAAGCTAAAAGTCTTTATTATGGTTTGCAGGGCCTCCACCTAACATTGCAGCCTTCATTCTGCTTATGTGCCCTTGACTCTCCACTTCAGTCAGGCTGCCTGACCTTGCCCCAGTCTTTTCCACATCTGATCTCTGCCTCAGCTTTTCCCTAGGCCGATGGCACCATTTTTTGCAGAATAAGCCCAACCTGTTCCTCAGGACTCAGTTCAGGATGTCACCTCCTTCAGGACACTTTCCCCCTTTCGTCCAGGCTGGGTTAGGTATCCTCTTTTTTGTGCTGGCAGAATCCCCTGAACTTCTCTTTACCAATGCATTGGTCACTCTTGGAGTGAAGACGATGTTGTAATTATCAGTTTATTCCTGGATCTACTATACTTTTATGCTCAATACATTTCTGTTGAACGAATGAGTAATGGCGTGGGCAAAGATCTGGGGGCATGGACGATGCGGGCAGTGAGGCAGTGGCCTGTGTGTGTGACTACCTCCAGGCCACCAAACGTGAAGGGGCGGTCCCGTGTAGCCCACTGAACGCTGGCTCCCTTCACACCCATGCATGAGGCGTTTGGTGCTCACAGTGGGGGTCATGAAGCACTGAGACCCACAATCCTCAGCCCTCAGCGGTTAGGGGTTTTGGTATTTTCAGCTTAGCTTTACTCGTTCGCTCTTTTGGTAAATGATGCTGACACCCTTCCTGCCTCTGTTCTCTACCAATTCTTTCCCTCCCTCTACTCCCCCTACTCTGAACTTAGAAATAAAGTCATAGGTTTAGGTCACTTAAACAAAAATGAGACTTTATTCTGTGAAATAAGTGTTTCGTTTGTAAAAGGATCAATGGGCTATTTTGGATCAAATAACTGTGTTTTCTTTAGCCATTTAAAAGGGTCTATTTTCATTTTTTTGAAGCCATTGCCTTGTGAAAGGACCTAAGAATATCCCCAACTTCGTGTTAGATCCCATAATTACGTTTTCCCATTTTGAAAGCAGTTATGCAGTCCTTACAATAAGAGTCAGTGCAGCTAAAAATAAACCTCAGGCAGTTCATATTAACTGGGTAATAATAACAGGCAACTAGGAGGCTCGGTGTCCAAATATGATGAAAACAGGAAGTTCATTACACAAGCTGTTCTTTCCTGATAGATCTGAATTCTTAAAGCCTTAACTCAAAAATAATCCCTTCAGGTTATAAATAAAAGCAGAGAATTGTCTCTTACTGTGGCTTAATGGGGATGATAACATTGTAGCTAAATAAATCCACATGGTTATGATCGAATGTAGCACTGGAACGTCTGTGCTGGGAGAGGAGAAAGTGAGTTTGCAGACCCCTGCCCTCTCAGACAGGCAGCTTTTCTTATCCTGGGCACAAGTTGCCAAGGAGATATTGCTTTACTTGGGTACAATGATAGGAAAGCAGAACACCTTCAGGTGTGGAAAGTGCTTTTAGCCAGGCCTGCATGGCTCAGTGGTTGAGCATTGACGTGGAGGTCACGGTTTGATTCCTGGTCAGGGCTCTATCTCCAGTATGGGGCGTGCAGGAGGCAGCCAATCCATGATTCTCTCTCATCATTGATGTTTCTCTCTCTCTCTCTCTCTCTCTCTCTCTCTCTCTCTCTCTCTCTCTCTCTCTCTCTCTTCCTTCCTCTCTGAGATCAAATATATATATATTTTGGGGGAGAAAATGTATGAGCAGAACAACCCCAACTGTAAGTGTTGGTTAGATATTGTAAATTTCAATCCTGGATTTTTCAGGGTGAAGTGGGAATGAGACCCAAAGGAAGAGGTTAAGCTCCCTTCCTTATACAACTCCTTTTCTCTATTGAGTGTCACTGATTGCAAATTTTCAGATTTTCTTGATTAAAATAAGGTGAGCATGAAGAAAAATGTTCATTTACGTAACTAGAACAAACCCCACCCGTTCCCTTCCTGAAACCAAATCCTAGCCCTCCAGGGGTCACTGGGCATTGTGAGGGGTCATGTGACCTTACCATTCACCTCCTCTTTGGAAATCTCTCATTAGTTGTTACCACGGCCACCAGTAGGGTTCCCCTGGCCCAAGCACCAATCCCATCTTTCTTTAATTTCCTGTAATACAGTGGAGACCTGGCTGGGAGTTTAATCAAGACAGGGTTGGGGTGGGGAAGAGAACGGGAAGGTCAAAGAGGTGTCCACCATGGAGAATGACAAGTACACACTGATCTGGCGGTTTTCTCTCCCAGGTCAGTAACATCTGCAGGGTTTGCCTCAAACAAAAGTGTATGCTTGGGAGGGGGGTGGTTTGGGGACATGGGGAGAGTGATCTTTATTTTTTTCATATACAACAAATCTAGGAATATATCCCAGGAAGGGGGTCCACTTTGGAAGTGATGATGTATAGGGCCAGTCACAGTGGGTCTCGGGAGGGCCACATTGCCAAGACCTCACATTTGAGAACAGCCTCAGGTGTGGACTTTGGATGTTATTTCCGAATGAGGTTAAACACACAGCCACTGACACACACTGATATAATTGGCGAGCAGGGAGGGGAAGAAGGACAGCACACAAGACTTTAAACTTGTGTTCTATGACCAGATCATATTAGCTGTTGAGTACTATCAATTTTATATTTTGTAAAACTATGACTAGCACAATTATATTGCACTATATATACATATTGAGTGTAAACATTAGGGTATATCACAATTCTTGTAATCCTGTTGACATTTCTTCACTTTCTAAAATCCTGCCATTCTCAGAAATTGGGAGGGGTCTGGCCTCTGAGAGGCCCGGACTGTAGACTTTCTCTGCCCTCGATGCTGCCCGTGGGGCATGGTGGCCTTCTGTAAGAGAAGGAGGAAGCGTGGTTGCTCCGGAGGGACTTACAGAGATATTCCCTCGTGATGGAGGACTGCAGTGGTTCTTAAACTTACAGGGCAACAAACTCTCCTTGGTAGCTTGTTAGAAACGACCTACGATGCACTGAGAATTTCTGGCCCAGACCCAAGATCTTGGTTCAGGGCGTCTGGGACTACTCTTTGAAAAGCCCTGCTACCGATTACAGAGGCAGCTGTTGGGGGAAGGTCAAATTATAGAAGTCTCCTTTGGGAAATATGTAATGATTCCCCCGGGAACAGTGAAAACTCTGTCTTAGAGAGGGGTTTCCCCGCTAGGATCAATAAAGAAACAGGCAAGGGACCTGGCAGGTGAGAGAGCAGAGGCAGGGATGGCCGGCAAGCCTGCCTGCGGAGAGCTGGGAGCAAGTGAGGAACTGTTTGAATGAGCAGACTGTGGGGGAGGCAGTCATGCCAGAGGGACATGGGATGCGGGAAGCTTCTGGGGGAACCTCAGTGAAGGGGAGTGGCAGAAGGCCTCAGGGTAGAGTGGGCATGTCCTAGAGCAGTGGTTCTCAACCTTCTGGCCCTTTAAATACAGTTCCTCATGTTGTGACCCCAACCATAAAATTATTTTCGTTGCTACTTCATAACTGTAATTTTGCTCTGTTATGAATCGT